GAAAATAGAGAATACTAGCAGTACAATTTGCTTTCAAAATTTACTGAAAGAATAACAGCATAATAGTAAAATGGATTTTCAAATGATTCTTTTACTAACCCATATCAGTATTTACTAATCCATATAAAAATGATGTATTGACTTATATTCTAGATTTATCTATTGCCGAAATAGATTATAACAATGACTACAATAAAATTACAGACAATAATAATAAGTAATATAAGCTGTTTTGTATATGCAATATAGACAAAGTCCTAACGTGGAACAAATGGTTCTTTCAGTTTGATCAGCTCTGAGTATTTACAGACGAAATAACTTCATATATAATGCGCAATATATTCACAAATGATGGGATCATATGATGGCATACATTTGTGTCGTACCACATCATGACATATATATATATATATATATATATATATACACACACAGGTAGATTGGCTGCATACCCCATGGTCAATACTATTGTTGCTGTTGTTACACGTTTTGCAAAATATATAACGTATTTTGTATAGCTGCCTACACCATGTCCGTTATCTGGGAAGAGGCCTGTCTCTTCTAATCACAATATCGAACAGAAGAGTTATCTGACTTCAAAATTAATCGAACAGGCCCATCTCAGTTTCACCGTGAAATCAACACATAATTAATTGTTGTAACAGCAGCTGCACTAAACAAATGCATGAAATCAACATTTATTCATGTTATATACCATCGCGTTTCAAATATAGAGTGGAGTTGTCAACATTACAACATGCGTATTCGTTCTGCTAGTTTGTAACGAAAGAAGCGACCCTGATCTGTGTGTTTATGTACAGTCACACAGCACTAACACTACCCTAATTCTATGTTAAACAAATGCATGAAATTATTTATTCATGTTATATACTATCGCTAGTTTGTAACGAAAGAAGCGATCCTGATCTGTGTGTTTATGTATAGTGTGATGTAGCTCCTTGCTCCTAGCAGAACGTCCTGATAGACGAACATAAATATTGCTGGCGATTCCCTCTTAGGAAGGGAAATGTGCCTACATTGCAGCCTTTATTCGTTCAGCTACATGACACAACTAATATTTGTAAAATCTCATTTCATACAACAACGTTATGCACGCGCACCCAAACAAATCCATCAAACGTAACCGATATCTGTTGCTGAAGTGTACTTTAATATACATATTCTATAAGTGTCAAATATGAATAACAGTAAAACAAGTCCTTGTAAAGATAAACCACCCCTGAAGTAGTAGTCAACTTCCTATAGTAATGAGGTAAGCGCAGATGAGAGAAGACATTCAGTTGAGTCAATGTTCATTTGAAACATGCCTAGTTCTCTCAATCAATTACGAATTACGATACCTGTTTTGGTCGCATTTGTGACCACGCGTATTTTCCCCGTACATCTTCAAGAAACCTTGGTCCTTTGTCTATGGCCGCCATTACTCGAAATGGTGTTAGCCAATCAGACAGGGTGTCAGGGTATGGGTACTTCTGAATGAATATCAATTCAATTATTTCATTTAATTTTAGACATACGCGTTTGTTTAAAGACTGTGGGAATTGTAGATTGTTAGTTCCAAAATGCAGTGTATAGGAATTACAGAATTATGGTACGTCAGTTGATGTTGGTACTTGTAGGACCGTATTCGATAAAGGCTTCAAATGAATTCGGTCTTCTTTTTACATTTACTGCATGTTCTCCAATTGAGCTACAATCAGCTACAATTTGTTTCGAAAATAAGATTCAAGCATTGGGTTGAAAGATTTATAAAAGTAATAGACAAAGCACCCAGTTTCAAACCAAGTTATTCTCCTACCTCTCAAATAAACTCACACTCAATGATATTGCGTCATTTTGGTCGGTTGGTTTGTTGTTTAACGCCGCACTCAGCAATATTCCAGCTGTATGGTGGTGGTCTGTAAATGATTGAGTCTGGACCAGACAACCCCAAGTCAAAACATTGATTACACAACAGTCTCTAATCCTTGCAAACCTTTAATAACGTCTACATGCTTGTGGTGCAGAGACAAATTAAGGCGTTGTTGTGCTCTCTGGATTAGTTTGACTACAGTTGTGTCACTAAATGGTCTGTTTAGTATTGACTCCGTATTTGCGCCACCCGAATATATTTGTCTTGCTGACTTGACGTCTCACGTCCCTGTTGTGGTTTGGGTTGGTAAATGGGGTTCTTGTTAACATCAATTCACTTGCCTGATCACGTGTTTGTGTTGGGTACCACTAGCGAGGCAGGACAGGCTCACCTTTTCAAGAACATCTGGTATCATCACCAGTAAAATGAACAAAGGCAGATATCACATTAAACGTTTTAGTGACATCAGTAACAGCGGCGTCAGTGGTGTCATGCAATCAAGCTGGCGGTACAACGTAGGGCTCCTTACGGTTTGCTGTCAACTGCATATAAAGGTCGACAGGTGTTTCCGGGACAGCAAAGTGACGTGGGCGACAACTCTCACAAGCGATAAAAGAATCTTAAGCCAGAACAATATAACTGAGCAAGGCTGTTGCATTGGAACATACATAGAAGCAATGTTGGTATTAGGAATCACGTAACACGTGTTATACTTGGGATTACACGTTACCAGTGAAGTGCAGATTGTAGTACTTTAGGGGTTGAGTCGGATCCGGGATTTGAACCTATACTTAGCTGTCTATACTGTGACAGTCATGCACCTTTGTGCTGGCTATTTTGTGCCGGACTCTGTGGGTGAGCCGTATCCATGAAACACAAATGCATATGCTGGGCAAACATTTGCAAGCATTTCCTTTGTCTACAGGCAGAGGGTGCCTGGAAGTACATGCAACTAATGGACCTGTCCAGTTATCATGACTTTGACCGTTTCCATTTTCTGTGTAATAGATTCACGCTGCATACATCAACTGTCACCCAGCTTGCTATATGCCTACATTCATCAATTCTGCAGATATGAGGTAAATATACAAGTTTCATATTTCGAGTACCCTTTGCTGTCCTCCGAGATACCACAGGGGTAATACATAGTTGAGCTGTCATCCGAGATACCACAGGGGTTATACATAGTTGAGCTGTCCTCCGAGGTACCACAGGGGTAATACATAGTTGAGCTGTCCTCCGAGATACCACAGGGGTTATACATAGTTGAGCTGTCTTCCGAGGTACCACAGGGGTAATACATAGTTGAGCTGTCCTCCGAGATACCACAGGGGTAATACATAGTTGAGCTGTCCTCCGAGGTACCACAGGGGTAATACATAGTTGAGCTGTCATCCGAGATACCACAGGGGTTATACATAGTTGAGCTGTCATCCGAGATACCACAGGGGTTATATACCAAAAAGTCAAAAAAGAAACTTCACATTCTTTCTTCAGGGCACTATAAAAGAATAAGAGATGGTAAGATGGTTAAATTGTTATTATTTCATTGCTGAGATCTGTTTGATGTACTCGATACACTGACAGTGCCATAATCAGTTCCATTAGGCTACACCGCCGTTCCAAAACATGGGTATACAGAATGTCAAGTCACAAGAATACAAATGTGAAATTTCTCAGTTCAATATCGTGTATGGCCGCCCCGCGCATTCACCACTGCCAAACACCGTCTCCTCATCGACTGCCTGATGCTTGTGAACACGTGGTTGGGGATTCTGCGCCATTGCTCTTGCAAGGCAGCGCCAAGTTCCTGCAAATTCTGAGGTTGGTTCCTAAGACCACGAAGCCTTCTCCCAAGTGCATCCCAAACGTGCTCTATTGGATTAAGGTCAGGGGACCTCGATGGCCAGTCCATGACGTTGATTCCAGCGTTTTGAAGGAAATTTCGTATCAACATCGCGGTATCGCGGCGAGCATTATCATGCTGGAACTGTAGACCTGGGCCATGAGCCGCCATGAAAGGAACGGGTTCAGGGGTGAGCACCTGGTCGCGTAAGCAGCAGCTGAGAGGTTTCCACGGATGACCAGAAGTCGGGGAGCGGTTGTTCCAACAGAAAGCACCCCACACCATGCAACTTCCGCCCCCGAATCTGTCGACTTCCTGTACACAACATTGGGCATACTGTTCACGACATTGTCTCCAGACTCTATGCCTCCCGTCCGCGAATCTGAGGTTAAACCTGGATTCATCGCTAAAGACGACTCGATTCCAGTCTCTCTGGGTCCATCGGAGGTGACGTTGGGCCCACAGCAGACGTTGACGTTGATGAAACGGCGTCAATATTGGCCCACGATATGGACGTCGAGAATGGAGATTGGCAGCCCGCAACCGATTTCGAATGGTCTGTGAGGACAGTCGACCTCTAAACATCTCAGCCCTGGTTCGTGTAGCCGGCAGAAATCTGTCACGTAGGTGGCGTAGGACAATTTGACGGTCTTCTGCTCGTGACGTATGAAGAAAACTTCGATGCGAAGATCACGTGATCGACTGCACGTGCAAAACCTGATTTGGCACTAACGTCATTTGCACGACGAATGGATGGGTTTGAGTGGGTTTTGCTAACGTTTTTCTAGAGTCGAAAGATAGGGATCCCATTTCGGATACATAGATGTATCATCAGAGAAAAATTATTCATTATTTTTCAAATTACATTTTGTGAAGTTTCTTTTTTGACTCAGTATACATAGTTGTGCTGTCCTATGAGATACCACAGGGGTTATACATAGTTTAGCTGTCCTCTGAGGTACGACAGGGGTTATACATAGTTGTGCAACCCTTGTCTATAGTTCAAATCCTGGTTTGCCCTGAATACAGTGTTAGTTTGTCGACATCATACTTGTTCTTGTAGATTTCACCAAAGTGAACACATCAAACCTGCATCACTGCATACTTAGCTCCAACATCAAACTTACAGTAAATTATGGTCATATTCAACTTTACATACCTATTCATTCAATGTTGTCAGTAGTTTCAAAACAAATCACCAGTTTAGTTTTCTATCACACAAAGGATCAAGTTATGGACCATTCCCTGCCCATCATATCCCCAAAACAAGATGACATTAAGGTTTTTCAAACTATTTATTCTGAGAATGTTTGACTAGTGTAGATAGAGCTGGTCCACAGCTTCCACGCAGATACCACTGGTCCTCCACATTTCTTGAATCATTATCAATAGATTATCTCTTCTGTAACTGATATATTATTTTGACACATAAATATATATGTACAATAATGAGTTCAACTATATGAAGAAAAACAACTATATATAACGGAAAATGTGAACTAAAACCTCAGGGGTTAAAATGTGAATTGTGAAAGACTTGTAACAATTCAATAGGAACACACACTCTCTCTCTCGCTAAAACTGAATATGATCATTCTGATCAATTCTGGTCAAACCACTGGTGTGTACCTATCCAACATGAACCTGCAGAAAACAAATCAGCCAAGAGGCTATATAGATCACAGGTAACATTATACATAAAATAGAAATATATTCTAAAACTAGAATCATCAAGATCACCAAGTCTTGAACTATGTAAAATGACCATGGCCTAAAAGGTGACTTGGTACATGCCTACTTGATTGATGCAGGGCTCCAGATAAGATGTGTCTCTGCGTAAAATACACATGGATAATTCAGATATATACACATAAAAAGTCAAATCAATGAGTGAAAGATACACATAACTTTCTCAGAATACGGGTCAGATTTTGTTTACATGCGTGAACCAAACCTGTCAAAATATTGTTTCCTAAGATCTCGAATACTGATGGTTGTCTGTATTGAAGCGAAGATTGTCAAGTTTTTCTGAATTAGCGCCGTTAATATTTCTAATCCATGTTCGGGCACGATTTGTTTAAAAGCTAGCCCTTAGACAGCGTTACTATCACAACGTTTCTGGTCTGTAGCAGTAATAATACAGCTTGAAGGCTACTTTAGATTACGTGATGGCCCTAAACCAGCATAGGAAAACATTTATGGGCAATAGCTCAGTGTGCAATGTCATTTAATTCCTGTTGTCTGCAGTAAGAATGGCTAACCTAAAGAAAGAGTTTATAAAATGAAAACTGTTTCATTTAGCAAGGAAAAGTTAGTGTCTGATATTATCAACAATTTAACTGACAATGTAGCTAAAATCTGTATTAAGAAGAAACACGAAGGGAATGTCACTGACAAAACGATTTCTGGTTGGAAGTCAAATTTCCCATGGTTGCATGTGGAGCAAGAAGATGTTGTTAGACTGAAATGTTTGATTTGTGAGCAGTTTAAAATGAAAACTGTGAGTTAGCGAAGGAACTACAATTGTACAGAAATTGAGCAGCATTGTTCATTAGAGCCCCATGTCGAAGCTATCAAATGATCTATGAAAAGTTTAGCAAGATCGAAGTTGTTTTACGAGGAGCCACGTTCTGTAGACATAAACATACCAAACTCCAACATTTTCTTAACCATGCAACCTGAAATACACCTTTTATTTTCATTTGGTATTTTACTCCTCAATTGTAATTTTGAGGAGTGAAATATCCGCGAGTCAAAATGATTATCTGGAGCCCTGTGATGTCAATAGACTTGCACTCAATCATGAAGGAAATGAGGGCCAACAAATATGTATAAATATCTATGTAAATTGCAACAAAACCTTGGGCAGTATTGTGACTGCCCTCATAGCAAAGCATTCACAGCAGTCATCATGTATCTATCAACTGTCAGTACAAAGTGACAAATTTTAAGCTTATGATACCAGAAGGTTGAAATAAGGATTAATAATTTTGTAATATGATTCATACAAATCACTGAGCAAGTTGGCCCAAGTTGATTAACGCCAATATTTCAAAGTAAGCCACACTGATAAAGACCAAGGGTCCAAGTTAGAAATTCATCAAGAAAAAGCAAACTTTCTGTTGATCCAAAGTACAAGCTTTATATTACATTCATGGATAGAGATGACTGATATTTGTGTATCTCAAGGTAATGAACAAAATCTGTATATTTCTGTTTCAAAATTCAAAGAAACTGAAGAATATAGGACATATAGTTGTCATTTTGTTACAGAAAAATAAATAAAACATTCTGCAACAGCTGTTTAAATATACAAAAAAAAGTCATCAATTTGTTATGTACGTATGTTAATATGTAAAGACACCCATCAAACACCCTGCCATCAGCAAAGGTATTCAAATATTCTCTGCATAAATACTCCTGACACTAAAGGACAATACAATAAAAACTTGAAGATTAAATCAGTCAGTGAGTCAAATGGAACATACATGCGTGTGCCCTGAAAAGGTTTCCCATATGGCTGATGGTGACTCAATATAAATCAGAGTCCCAAATATAAATCAGTTTTGATGACTTTCATTTAAACCATTTGTAAATTCTCTCATAGGTTCACTTTACCATGTATTTTCAATACAATTTCACACAAAACTAATATAAGTTTATGTTTTTCAGACACACTGTCTTTAAGTCAGTTGAGATATGAACATCTTCGGCTTCTGGTTTGATAATGTATATCTTGACAAATATAACAAAACTACATACTGAATATAAATTGCTGGAACATGAATATTTTTAGTGACATTTTGATAGTGATGACATAACAGACAGTTTCATAAAAACAACCCCGAATATATTCCTGATCTGTTTTTCTATCAGTATATACTCAGATATAACATAGTATGCTTCACCAACACCCATGTGCAAGCATGTATTCATACATATAATCACTTGGCATCTATAAATGCTGCAAAGCACAGAGTCATTATCACCAGACTATCCAATCTAAAGTCAGGAGCTCATCAAACTAGATAGTTCACATTTTCCGCTCAACCATAATAATGACTTGACCATCATCATCATCAGTTTTCCAAGTAGAAAGAAGTACCTATGTTGTCCTTTCACCTCTGGACTAAATGCTTAAAGACAACACAAGAATGACAATTAACCCCAATACAGACGGTCCAAAACCAAATCACATACACATGCATGATCTTTAGTATATCTTATATGGGATACAAAATGTAATCCATAAAAATATTTAATGAATGTTTGCTTTCTCATTTCACTGTTACTTATATGTAAATACCAATCACAGGCAGGCTATGGAGGTACCGGCCAATCAGATTCGGTGTATAAGTGAGAGGAACTCTTCTCGTGTTTTAGGATCTTCCCGAAATACTCCAAGCATGGTACTTGTCACTGTCTTGCTGTTGAGTTTCTGCACACCACGCATCACCATACACATGTGGCTGAAACACAAACATCACAGATTGAAGGAGTCACTTGGAACAAGTTAATGAATATTATCAACAAACATAACCTGCCCAATCTATAGTAATCCACCAATCTGTTCTAATCTTAAATACAGCTGGGAGCTGAAAGTTTAGGAAAAGTATCCCAATATAATAATACAGTCAATGCTACGACATAAATCAAATGATAGCAAAATAGAAATGCGTGTCAATGGACAAATGAACAAGCAATAAAGATGAAAAGAGGGCAATGAAGCTTGTAACATCCTATGCTATACCTGGCTTGTGGACCAATATCTGACGTAATAGGAGTGCCATGTTCAAAATGTAAACAGGAGCACAATGTCCAACATGTAATAGGAGCGCCATGTCCAACATGTAATAGACAGCCCATGTCCAACATGTAATAGGAGCGCCATGTCCAACATAGGAAGACAACCCATGTCCAACATGTAATAAGAGCGCCATGTCCAACATAGGAAGACAACCCATGTCCAACATGTAATAAGAGCGCCATGTCCAACATAGGAAGACAGCCCATGTCCAACATGTAATAGGAGTGCCATGTCCAACATAGGAAGACAGCCCATGTCCAACATGTAATAGGAGTGCCATGTCCAACATAGGAAGACAACCCATGTCCAACATGTAATAAGAGCGCCATGTCCAACATAGGAAGACAACCCATGTCCAACATGTAATAGGAGCACCATGTCCAACACAGGAAGACAACCCATGTCCAACATGTAATAGGAGCGCCATGTCCAACATAGGAAGACAACCCATGTCCAACATGTAATAGGAGCGCCATGTCCAACATAGGAAGACAACCCATGTCCAACATGCAATAGGAGTGCCATGTCTGACAAGTAATAGGAGCGCCATGTCCAACATAGGAAGACAACCCATGTCCAACATGTAATAGGAGTGCCATGTCTAACATAGGAAGACAACCCATGTCCAACATGTAATAGGAGTGCTTTTCACGGGTCCATAAAAACAAGTATTGACCGAATTCGCTAGTCTATAATTGTTTTATTATGTAATTACCGAAAAAACGCTTCTAAAGTCCAAAACATGTCCATTTAGTCAAGAAAAGTAATTTTATTTTCACTACACACCAATAACATTATGTCAACAATACTGTGACAAGTAAACAATAGAATGATGTCATAGCTTGACGTGAATGACGTCATAGTAACTCAGGTCAATATGACTTTTGGTCGGACCCGGGTTGGAGTCAATATGCTTTTCTGTCGACGGTCACGTGACCGCCTCTAGACCAATCAGGTAGCCGGAAAAATATGCTTACATAATAATTGCAAATAGTGTAGACCAAACTCACACATGGAGAACAAAGGTAAATGACAGTACAGAAAATGGCGAAAGTCATGAAATAATGACAAATGTAGGGGCCGGACATCGTAAACTTTTCTGCAACTTGTGTAAGCAAAGGAGACCATCAATGCTAGCATTGCCTTGTGAGGCCAGAGCAAAGAAGCTGGAGTTAAACAACAAGCAGACTTAAGAAAACATGACATTAATTGATAAAAGCTGTACCATTAAATAGATGGTCTTACAGTTAATCGATTACTAACTGACTAACTGTAACATGATCTATTTACTGTTCAACAGTCACTAATATCCTGCAGATAATGCATACATGAAGAGGTGAAATTTGCTTGCTGACATTAAAAAATGCTGAAACCACATTCTGAGAATATAGAACAAATAAGATATGAAGCTGACTTTTGAATTAAACCTGCAAAAATGTCATTTCCTTTACTCCAAGCTGTAGTACTACAAGAGAAGATTCAGAGACCCATGTCACATGAAGACAAATCATACTGTAGTATAGTAATGGAACTTCAAAGGTATTAATACTCATGTTTGTGCTGGCAGACCAGATAATACAATTTTGAGACAAAGACAGAAATCTACTCCTGTACTCCTCTTGAGCTAATTTCAGTAGTATGAAAGCATTAGATTAAATAAAATATCTGGAACAATGTCCAACATAGGAAGACAGTGAGGACCCATGTCCAACATGTAATAGGAGTGCCATGTCCAACATAGGAAGACAGCCCATGTCCAACATGTAATAGAGTGCCATACCCAACATAGGAAGACAGTCCACGTCCAACATGTAAAAGGAGCGCCATGTCCAACATAGGAAGACAGCCCATGTCCAACATGTAATAGGAGCGCCATGTCCATAATAGGAAGACAGCCCATGCCCAACATGTAATAGGAGTGCCATGTCCAACATAGGAAGACAGCCCATGTCCAACATGTAATAGGAGCGCCATGTCCATCATAGGAAGACAGCCCATGCCCAACATGTAATAGGAGTGCCATGTCCAACATAGGAAGACAGCCCATGTCCAACATGTAATAGAGTGCCATACCCAACATAGGAAGACAGTCCACGTCCAACATGTAAAAGGAGCGCCATGTCCAACATAGGAAGACAGCCCATGTCCAACATGTAATAGGAGCGCCATGTCCATCATAGGAAGACAGCCCATGCCCAACATGTAAAAGGAGCGCCATGTCCATCATAGGAAGACAGCCCATGCCCAACATGTAATAGGAGTGCCATGTCCAACATAGGAAGACAGCCCATGTCCAACATGTAATAGAGTGCCATACCCAACATAGGAAGACAGTCCACGTCCAACATGTAAAAGGAGCGCCATGTCCATCATAGGAAGACAGCCCATGCCCAACATGTAATAGGAGTGCCATGTCCAACATAGGAAGACAGCCCATGTCCAACATGTAATAGAGTGCCATACCCAACATAGGAAGACAGTCCACGTCCAACATGTAAAAGGAGCGCCATGTCCAACATAGGAAGACAGCCCATGTCCAACATGTAATAGGAGCGCCATGTCCATAATAGGAAGACAGCCCATGCCCAACATGTAATAGGAGTGCCATGTCCAACATAGGAAGACAGCCCATGCCCAACATGTAAAAGGAGCGCCATGTCCATCATAGGAAGACAGCCCATGTCCAACATGTAATAGGAGTGCCATGTCCAAAGACATGCCCAATCATAGGAGACAGCCCATGCCCAACATGTAATAGGAGCGCCATGTCCATCATAGGAAGACAGCCCATGCCCAACATGTAATAGGAGCGCCATGTCCAACATAGGAAGACAGCCCATGTCCAACATGTAATAGGAGTGCCATGTCCATCATAGGAAGACAGCCCATGTCCAACATGTGATAGAGTGCCATGCCCAACATAGGAAGACAACCCATGTCCAACATAGGAAGACAGCCCATGTCCAACATGTAATAGGAGTGCCATGTCCATCATAGGAAGACAGCCCATGCCCATCATAGGAAGACAACCCATGTGCATCATAGGAAGACAGCCCATGTCCAACATGTAATAGGAGTGCCATGTCCATCATAGGAAGACAGCCCATGCCCAACATGTAATAGGAGTGCCATGTCCATCATAGGAAGAGCCCATGTCCAACATGTAATAGGAGTGCCATGTCCATCATAGGAAGACAGCCCATGCCCAACATGTAATAGGAGTGCCATGTCCATCATAGGAAGAGCCCATGTCCAACATGTAATAGGAGCGCCATGTCCAACATAGGAAGACAGCCCATGTCCAACATGTAATAGGAGTGCCATGTCCATCATAGGAAGACAGCCCATGCCCAACATGTAACAGAGTGCTATGCCAAACATAGGAAGACAGCCCATGTCCAACATGTAATAGGAGTGCCATGTCCATCATAGGAAGACAGCCCATGTCAAACATGTAATAGGAGTGTCATGTCCATCATAGGAAGACAGCCCATGTCAAACATGTAATAGGAGTGCCATGTCCAACATAGGAAGACAGCCCATGTCCAACATGTAATAGGAGATCCATGTCCAACATAGGAGGACAACCCATGTCCATCATAGGAAGACAGCCTATGTCCATCATAGGAAGACAGCCCATGTCCAACATGTAATAGGAGATCCATGTCCAACATAGGAAGACAACCCATGTCCATCATAGGAAGATCCATGTCCAACATAGGAAGACAGCCTATGTCCATCATAGGAAGACAGCCCACGTCCAACATGTAATAGGAGTTCCATGTCCAACATAGGAAGACAACCCATGTCCAACATGTGATAGCAGTGCCATGTCCATCATAGGAAGACAACCCATGTCCATCATAGGAAGACAACCCATGTCCAACATGTAATAGCAGTGCCATGCCCAACATAGGACGATAACCCATGTCCAACAGAGGAAGACAGTGAGAAACCATGTCCAACATTTTATAGGAGCGCCATGTCCAACATAGGAAGACAGCCCATATCCAACATGTAATAGGAGCGCCATGTCCATAATAGGAAGACAGTCCATGCCCAACATGTAATAGGAGTGCCATGTCCAACATAGGAAGGACCCATGTCCAACGTGTAATAGGAGCACCATGCCCAACATGTAATAGGAGTGCCATGTCCAACATAGGAAGGACCCATGTCCAACATAGGAAGACAGTGAGAAACCATGTCCAACATGTAATAGGAGCGCCATGCCCAACATAGGAAGACAGTGAGGACCCATGTCCAACATGTAATAGAAGTGCCATGTCCAACATAGGAAGCCAGGAAGGGACCCTTATCCAACATGTAATAGGAGCGCCATGTCCAACATAGGAAGCCAGGAAGGGACCCTTATCCAACATGTAATAGGAGTGCCATGTCCAACATAGGAAGCCAGGAAGGGACCCTTATCCAACATGTAATAGGAGCGCCATGTCCAACATAGGAAGCCAGGAAGGGACCCTTATCCAACATGTAATAGGAGTGCCATGTCCAAAATAGAGAGGCAGTGAGAAACCATGGCCAACATGTAATAGAAGTGCCATGTCCAACATAGGAAGCCAGGAAGGGACCCTTATCCAACATGTAATAGGAGTGCCATGTCCAACATAGGAAGACAGCCCATGTCCAACATGTAATAGA